GATGGTATGTTGTGTATTGTGTAAACTTAGAAATTAGATAAATTTTTTTCCTGCTTGCTAAGATTGAAATAAAATGTTCGACCCTAATGAAATCAGAATGTCTGAAACAAAATATGTACATTAGCATTTACATATTGTATGTTCCCGAGTTGCATATTTTGAAGGATGGTATTAATGAGCTTATATATCAGTCTTATCCATAAACTTTTATTTAAACTCTGAATTGTATAGACTGTATTAATATATATTTTTGCTTATTGATGGTATTTTCTACAAGCATCCTACAATTAAGAGTCCATGAAATGTGGAACTAAAGATGACCCAAAGACACATTCTCAGAGGAGTTTTCTCTTATCATGGCTGAAGTAATTGGATCATTATGTATCTGCTCGGTTTTTATTGTTTCCTTCTCCTTTTCAAGGTGAACTTTTTAATCCCCATCTTTGTGATTGTATTTGTATCAGTTTAAAACAAACTAGCTCTGATATTTTGCATCATCATGTTAACCATCTTCAGAGGACAGTCCAAGACAATGAGGAGGAAAGAAATCCAAAGAAAATAAAGGTGTGCTGATGGGTATCCTTTTCTTGTTGCTTCTTTTTTAAGGGGAATTTTTGTTCTCTTTTTAATCCTCTCCTCTTTTCCAATATTACTCATCAAATTTATTTTTCATGTATAAAGGATATTTCTTTGAGTTTCCAACATCTGTTTTCCTGAGATGGAAATCTTATTGCTTCTAATTTTTTGTGTTTATTCTTAGTTGTCAACACCTAATGAGAAAGCTGAGTTTGAAATAGGCCTATCTGTGTCTGATATCTCGGACAAGTTATGATGCATGCATGTTACACTAATGTATTCTGCGCATTAGCATAGTCAAATGAGATTCTTTTCTTGTAATATTCAAAGAATTTGCTCTCTTTATCTGTTTTTGATGCTGCATTGCTACCAAAATGGAAAGCATTCAAAACAATCATATACCTTGAGAGGTGAGTTTCCAGTTTTATAGTATTAAAATGAAAAGTAAAAATGATCAGCTTGACTGCTTCCCTAATATTGGAAATACATTGTTTTTAATAACTGTTATCGTCTTGCATATTTTGATCATTCTTGATAAGCCACTATTCTTCGGGTAATTAGCATTATCTGCATTATTTGTTCTTATTTGGTGGTATATAAATGATTGAGATAGTGCCCTCAAACTCGTCAAAGATGTGAAATTGAGTTTTGGCCCCTGAAATTTTTTATGGTTCTGTGAAGCCTTAAAAATTTATTCTGGTTCCATTGATTCTAACTTTGGATTAAAACCCTTAGTTTTCAATGTATTTTTCTTCAGAACTTGGAAAAATAGCGTTTCCCTTTTCCTAACCCAATCATTTTCAAGGTTTACTTTTATTCTATTGTTATTGGTTTCTATTAAGGCTTCCAATTGGTTTTATTTTTTATTTTTTATTTTTGGTACACCTTAGCACCAAGAAGTAATTTAATTGATGTTACCGTTTTAATTCATAATAATTGGGCTCAGTGACACCCAAACAGATGTATAAGGAATTCATTAAAAAAAGAAAGTGCATGGAATTCAATATTTCCATACAAGTTTGAGGATTATGTTTGGCA